CTAGGTTAAAATGTGCAGTTTGGGGGTTTTGCTGTCAGAGGATTTCTTAGTTTGTTTTGGAAGGACAAGATATCCCCCATACCCCCCCACCCCCGCCCCCGCCCCCACAGTCAGTTGTGAAACGGAAACATCTTTTCTCTCCAACGGGTTCTGTCACGGGGCTGACTCATGTGCAGGCAGGCGAGGGCTCTGGAGATGGCCCGATGGCTTGGAGAACAGGGCAGGGAGAGGAGGGCAGGCCTGGTCGGGCCCGACAACGTCAGAGCTGAGCTGAGCAGTGTGGAGCGGGCGGGATGGTGCAGAGGGAGGGCAAGCGTCACCCCGGAAACCCTGCGGGCGGAAACCAAGGAATGAGAATCCCTGACACAAGTGAAACTCAACACCTGGGCCAGACGAGATCGCGCCTGATCCGCGGAGTGCAGGAACTGCCAGGACACAGTGACAAGAGGTCAGGGCACTCGGGGCAGCTGCCTAAGACTCGGTTTTATTAAAGGAGACAGATGCCACCTGGTCTTTCTACCGAAAGCTTCTGGCCTACGTGCATTAAAGCAAGGGCAGCCCGTCGGGTGCTGTACAGCAGGAGGGAGGGCTTCCTTCCCCTCCTGTTATTGAGGGTGGGGTGGGGCACACAACGCCACCCATCACATCTTCCAGGTAGAAACCACATGTCTGCTTCTGCCTTGAGATGTCAATAAAGTGCTGACCGATGACTCAGGTAAAATGCGATTTTTATTCAAATTTGCCAGGACTATTCTACTCCATGAACATAACTGCATCTCAATAACAGGGTGAAGGCAGATGGGAGAAACCTTCTGTAGCAGAAGAACTCACGTAGGAAACTAAAGATCTCGTGCCCAAATGTGGTTTCCATGAGCCACGCTATCAGGGAGCTTATGAACACGCGGGTTAAATCCCAAAGGGCTGGGCTCAGATGCATTTGCTTTTCTCTGCCCCTGTGTTGGTTGCCATGATTACCAGAAGAAATACTACAGACTGGGAGGCTTACACGGTTAATCAGTTTTCTCACAGTTCTGGAGGCTGAAGGTCCAAGACCAAGGTGTCTGTTGGGTGGGTTTCTCCTTGGCCTCTCGCCTTGGCTTGTAGACGGCCATCTTCTCCCCGTGTTTTCCATTATCTTCCCTCTGTGTGTGTCTGTCTCCTAATCTCTTCTTCCCATGAGGACACCACCCTTATGACCTCATGTAACCTTAATTACCTCCTTAAAGACCTTATCTCCACATATGGTCACATTCTGAGGTGGTGGGGGTTAGGACTTGAATACATCACTTTTGAGGAGATGACCCAATTCAGCTCATGAGAGCCCCTCACCCTGGAGCCTGTACCTACCTGGGTGGTCCTCTAGATTCCGTGACTCGGGAATCCAGCAGCTCTCATCCTCCCTGGATTTGCTCTCAGCCCTAAATTCATTACGGTCTGAGAGTGAATGAATCTGAATCCAGCACTTTCCTCATCCCCTGGCATGTAGGTGAGTTTAAACTTACGGCAAGGTTATTGCTATTCAAGAGAAGGAGGAAGGGAGCAGAATGAAAAGTAAAAAAGTTTCCCATACCAGCTTTTCAAACTTGTGACCATTTACTGCTGGAAATGCCCTGATTTGAATGATGAAGACTGTGTTGCATTATGCTAGACCATGTGGTTGTATGCTGATGGATGTATCCATAAACTTTGTGTATGTATTTCAGTGCAGTTAGAGCCAGAGGAAGAAAACAAATTTGCAAAATCGCCAAGCTCTGTGGTTCTAAATAATCTTGCTGTGTGCAAATTAAATTACCAAACCAGTTTGCAGTCATAGTTAAGTTCTTCTAACTTGAGTTACTTGCCTATTAAAGTTAATACTTGATTTAAAAAAAAATCAATCCAATGAAGAACAGTTTACGGTCCTAGAGATTCTGATTTATGACCTACCCTTTCAGTTAGAGGAAACTAAGGCTTAGTACAGGAGTCCTCCGATGACCTTATTTTATCTCAGAAAATTAAGACCACAGTCTTGGTCAGGTTCAATCACATTGGTCCTCCTGAGCCTGCTCTAAATTCCTTTCTCAGCCCCAATCTCTATCTCCTTACCTGACTTGAATTTTCTTTGGTTACCTGATGTTCAATAAATTCATTGGTTGAATGGCTGGAAGCATAACTTTTTCAGTAAACCATGATGTAACAAGAAGAAAAACACAACAGTGTAATATGGGCCTGGCACTCTTAAGGAGGAAGGTGCCCACATCACAAATGAAGATTGTTCCTTGAAGAAACAGATTTTTAAGTTTTCTGATGCAAAAGCAAACAGCTAAGCTGTTCTGTATTCCAACACTTTGATATTTTCTAAAACAGCAGAGCACACAGATGACTGTGAAGATGACAAAGAACCAACAAGGGGACTGACATCAAGGAGCATCTGGGACGGCAGGTGCTACTGTCTTCATCGACACGAAACACCTTTATGCCAGATGCCTTTTGCGTCTCTGAGACCAACTAATTCCATCCTATCCCTAAAGTCTGTGTGACCTTGGGAACATTCTTTCATTGACTTACCCTCAGTTGCTCCCTTCACACAACGGCATAAAAATAGTACTTACCTCGTGTTCCAATGAGATAATATGTTCGCAAACTTAGCACTTGGTGCCCAGTAGTCTTGATATTGTAAACGACATGGTTAGCACCAAATCCTAGCACTCACCTATTCTTCCTCCTGTTCTCACGCCTCCGTGGCAATGCTGCTGTGTGCCTCCGGCGTCTCCGCGGATGGCCTGCCCTCGCAACTCTCCCCCATCCTCCCGGCTCGCACTCCCCTAACACCTTGTCCCAGGTGGAACCTGAGTCTATGACAAGAGTAGTTCTTCTCCCATGGTCTTCTCAAGACAACCACGGGGCCAGGGGCGGGTGAGGAGCCTCATGCTGTGCTTCCTTGATGGGACTTCATTCCTACACAACTTCCCCATCATGTCCTTTGAAGGACATGTATGACCCTGGGTACTTTCCTTCCCTCTGGCTGTGAATTGAGGCATTGATGAGCTCTTCACATCCCTTGAAGACGTTCTCACAAGTGCGCAGCCTTCATCTTCACCTCTGCTACTCACGTCAGTTCAGACAACTTCACGCCAGAATGTACTTGTAAAGTGGTCTTGCCCCCTCCCCCAGTGAAGCTTCAACCCAGCCTCTGTTTCTAACAAGTGTCAGGGGTCATGCTAAATGACACCATAGAGATCCAGTAAACAAAACCCAGAATGTAGGAAACTTCAGAACAAATATCCTGGTTTCTCTAAAACATAAATTGCAAAAGGAAAAAAGAGAGGGGGTGAGGGTGATATTATTAAGTATAGATTAAAAGTAAAAAAGAAACAAACAAATGCAGTGTAGGTACTTTACTGGATCTTCATTCAAGCAAATCAACTGGCAAATGTACAATAAAAACCAGCTGTGTCGTAAGAGCTGGTGTATTGCCATCCCCTCCCTCTAACCACACTGCTCAACCCTGATTGCCCAGGGGCAAAGACCAAGTCGTCACTTTACCTCTTGGTATCTCAAGCTTCCCTTGGCTCAGTGCCTGGTGCATAATATGTACTAAACCCGTGTTTAATGAATAAACAAACAGGATATTGAGCATACTTTCCTTGATGACTGATTCAGTGTTATTATTCCTTGGCACAGAGATGTCTTCAGAGCTTATGGAGCTACTTACAGCTTTTGGATCTGCAATAAATGACCCACAGTGGCCCTGCTTTATGGATTTGCATGTATGGATTTTGCATCATTTCATCAATGTTCCTGCTTCCAGTGATCTTTCCACTGGCTTTGGAATCTGGGGCAGGTTGTCCAAAATGCAGAGTGAAGGCATACCATGAACTGCGGTGACTACAGTGGTTCAGGGTCCTTTTGTCTTATTTCTGGGTTCTTGCTGGGTCTCAAATATCTGAAATCTCTCCTCTGGGTAGCGAGGCTCTATCAGGTTCTAAGAGCATTTTGCATGGTCACGTTCTTTTTGGAAACAACTGAAAGATGACCCAGCAGAACTTTTGAAGTAGAGAAATGTTCCTGTGATGAGATGCCCATTTCTAGGTCCCTGAATGATGACAAAATGATGGACTAAGAGATTTCTCAAGGTATTTTCAAAATGGTTGTTCTGTCTCTGTAGTCACACAGTATATGGAGCAGTTATCTATTTATTTGCAGAATTTTGTCCTTTTGAAAGATCCAAACATAGAAAGGGGCAAACATCTAGGAATGATATAACAACACTCTCAAACCTTCTAAAATATGGACACATTCGAAGACTTTTAAATCAGTGGACTTTGATCATGCAGGCATATGGGTGCAATTTTTTATTTTAAAAAGTTTTATATCAGTAAACACTGAGCTATGAATCTCAGCTATAGGATCTTTATACTTTGAATAAAAGATAAATAAAAAAACATTTTCCCTTATAGTTCATAGAGCTGCAGTCATAGACCGTGAGGAATAGAGATAAAGGGGATAACTATGCACAAGAAAATGGGAATACAATTTTTCAGAAAATGTTCGTATTTCAAACTACACCTTTACATTTTTTTATGTCTCTTAAATGCTATATAACTCAATCAACAAACAATTTTTGGTTCTTTCCTCAATTTTTAATATTTATTCTTATCATTTTTCTCTTTTACAGGTAATTACAACAATATAAGAAACAAAATTATAAACAGAAGAAGGTTACATAGTTGTTTCTTTAAAAAGATGCTGCTTGCAAAAATGTTCATATAATCTTATTCCTCCAAGACCAATTTTATACCTCGTTCTAAACTAAATAGCTTATAGGAAATTATTAAATAGCAAAACACACACACAAAAGGCCTACATATATAAATAAGTTAACATAAAATAGCTTGGCTGCAATACAATATTTAACAAACCAAAATATGATGCAATATGTATCAACTTCACTAACTGGACAAGTCCAAGGACACAAATCAGGTGAGTGCTGAATCCTCAGCAGTGTGCAAGTGAGACCACCAACTCCAGTGAGGTTCTTTTTGGTTCTTGGGCTGTATCCAATTTCATTCCACAGAGCATCCGTTTTTACATTCTCCTGACTCTTTGGCTGTAAAGAGAAAGAGAAGAAACAAATAAGCAAAGACACGGTGACTGGCAAGCAGGAAAGGCTGTGGTACCTAATAGCTGCCTCCCCCTCCCTAACCCCAATTCAAGATGCCAAGTGGCTCTGAATCCAGATGAGGAAATCGGGGTTCAGAGCAGAAGGACCTTGCCCCTCATAATTCGGTTAGTTAATGACAGAACCAAGATGTGAGCACATAGTATGTCTTCACGTTCCATGTCCATGGCATCCTGGGGTTAGGTGACTTCTGTTTGTTGAGAAAATGTGACTGTCTACAATCGTCCGTGTGAATCAGGACCACTGTTCTCTTTTCCACTGTTAAGATCTAATTTTTTAACAAACATGGGTCATGGAGTCTGTAAATTATATAAACAGGAGACATTTTTGCAACAAGAATCAAATAGCTTGTGACTATCAAATGCACTGAGGAATTGAATGGCATGTGCAAAAATCACTAAATTTAAAAAATAAAAATGATTTATAAGGAGAAAAAAAGTGAATTTTTGTTGTAATGATCCAACTCCAATTTCTCTTTAAAAAATTCTGCACTGCTGCCCTGGCCAGTTGGGCTCAGCGTTTGGAGAACCGGGGCGCGGGCCAGTGAGTCCTGGTTTGGCGCCGGCCAGGGGCACGTACCTCGGTTGTGGTTCATCCCTGGCACTGGTCATGCAGGTGGCAACCAGTCTCTCTGTTGTGTCTCTCTCACATCGATGTTTCTCTCTCCCTCTGTCTCCCTCCCTCCCACTCTATCTGAAGATAAATGGGAAGAAAGAAATTCCACAGTGCTAAGGCTTAAAAAGCCCCAGCGAGCCTGGGACCCCCACGCTGCACACTGCTCTTGCCCCGAACGCCTGGAGAGAGGCCGAGAGACTGCGGCTGGTTCATACCTGAGGAGGTGCACAGCGTGCTTCACCCACTTCTTCTTTGGATCTGCACACACGGCGAACCCTCTCCTCGTGTGAAAGCTGAAAAACAGACACTTTCTAAAGAGCTTGCAAATGGCTTTGTCACCAAACACGCAATAGAAATTTCATATTCCAGTCGATTCCTCCATACACTAAGCATTTTGTTTATATCAGAGGTGACACCAAATGTACACAAAAAATCTCAATAAAGCTTGGTGCAAGAAGTGAAAGTGATGCTCCCCGACGTTCTCTGCAGTTTAACAAATGGTTGTGCAATGGCACAAAATAAAGGCCCGGAATATAGATATATTCAATAATATATTATTCCAAGGTATAATATCCTATATAAATAAAAAATATTATGTGTGACAGTACAATTACTCTGAGTTTTTACTTACAACCTCAACCATTTTCTGATTGAAGATGCTCATTTTAAAGTCTCTGTTTTCCATATTTTCCAGAGATAGCACTTCAGTAGCCTATATGTTTATCTAAAGTGATTTTTGCCCCCTACTATGTTTCTTTTTTAAAGCAAAACTTTGCCTTAGTCCAATCCCATTTAAATTGAGCTTTGAGTGCAGACTCTTTTCGTCACCATAGAAGGAGACTTGACTTGGGGTCGTGAACACGCAATGCACTATACAGACGATGCATTGCACACACGACACCTGTATGATTTGATTAAGCAACGCCACCCAAAAAATTTTAATAAGATTAAATATCTATATAAAAAGTGAGCTTTTAAATAGACATGCACAACTAAAACAAAGCTCTCTTTGTCACATTTGTTATTTCTGAATGAAACACTAAAAGGGCAAACCTTTTTATGCCTGAAATTCCCATGTAAACTAATGTAACTGAGTTAAAATCAATTAGTAACTTACATGACTGCATCGATGTCACAAGCTTCATTGGACAGCTGCTGTGTGAAGCCCTTGATAGCTCGGGGAGGAATGGCATTCTGTGTATATCGAAGGCAACAATCAAAGGTGCTTGCTGCTAAAAAGAAATGAAAAGCACTTAGTCCACATGAATGAGCAATATTCTGTGATGGGTAATGTGAAACTACCTGCAATTGTGAGAACCTAAAATCTGATTTATGTGGTAAATAATCTATTTAGAGGGAAAGTTCCAGTGTCTTTGAGACCCAATTTAACACAGTGTTCAGTTCTTATTTATTAAAAAAAAGTAGTTTGTGTGCTGGGAAACTCTGGTTCAATATTATTATTTAGAAACACATGACTTCCCATAAAAGGACTATCTTCAGTAAGAAATACAAACTGACTCTCTTGTTTCAAGCCACTGTAACTACTCAAGAATATGAGTAACTCCCCCTTGAAGAAACTCTTACACATAAACTTTCAAATTCAGGAAATCAATAAATTGGCATATTTTCACCTATCATCTGGCTACTCAGGACTGAGGGAAAAGAAAGGACAAGACTTTACAAAGGGAAAAGTGATTTCTAAAGGCTGCTTTTATGTGAGCTCTCACTAAAGCCCTTTGAAAGTCTAAGAGCTCATGGAGATTCTTCACTGTGTTCATAGAAGTTCAACACGTGCATTTTCAGGAATGCCCGTGTTGCCAAAAGCGATGCTCTCTGACAGCCACAAAGCAGTACTTGGACAGTCCTCCAAGTTCAGTTATAACCTTTGCAAGATAAGGGATAAAGATATCACAAAGTGGGCAGGGATGAAGAAGTCGGGTGTGATGCCCAAATCCACCCCTGGAGAATGAGTTTTGAATGTCTCTGAAACTATTTGACTGGCAGTTGAGAAATCAGGGGGAGCAAAAGCATCCCTTACATTTCAGAAGGACCCCACTCACTGGCAACGTTACCCCATTTACATCACTCCCAGAAATAGCACTGGGGCAGCATTCTGGCGCTCAGGGGTCTCTATGAGCTCACACACACACACACACACACACACACACACACACACCCCAATCTATTGGGATTGGCAGCAGAAACACAAGCCTGATCAGCAGCAGGAACCGTCCCCTCCTCACTCACCGGTGAGCTGACCACTCCCATGACTCCCTCTTGAAAACTTTCCAACAGGCTTCTGTCCTGTGGGGACCCCAGATGAGCTCAAGGCTCAGAGGGAATGAGAAGCGGTCTCCCACCTGTCGTGCAAGCGGGGTGACACTTACCGTCTGACTGGCTGCAGAGCAGCAGCAGCAGCGCTGACATGCAAGCAGCCAGGAGCAACCTCTTGTGACTGCCCGTCATCTTCAGCTCGAAGAGTAGGTGTGTTCAGCGCTGGGTACCCAGTGCCCTGCGTGTGCTCGGATGTTCTGACAGCAGCCTGGGACCTAGAGGGCACTACTTATAACAAGTATTGGGAATGTACACAAAAGGCGTGTTCTCCCGTGGGGTTTTCCCCATTATGGACCTGCCCCATCATGTCATGTCGTCACACACACACACACACACACACACACACACACACACACAAAACAGGAGAAGCTTCCTGCCTTTCTGTTTTGGGGAAGATACCTTCAGTTGGGGAGGGGAGAAAAGGGGGAAATCCTGTTATATCCTTTGAAGATTCCCATCCAGTTTGAATAACTTGATCTCTTGTCTCTGAAAAGAGAGGACAAGTGTTAACAATAATACAAAGGTCAGCCCCACATGTAAACATTCCAGAACTCCTATTGTTATACTCCATGTACTTTCCAAAGCCAATCAGAGAGGGGGAGGAGGGGGGAGGATTCCAGGCATACTCAGGAATCGTTCACAATTGCATAGCTGGTGCTCAGCTGTCACCAAAGACCTTAAACTTTTGCGCTACATTTCCGAGCAGGTAATATAACAATGCTGTAACAGTAGCCCCAACTTTTATGGAAAATAACAATCCTTAAGTAAGACTCAAGCTACAGCTTGAGCTTGATTTAGTGACAGCTCTTCCTAGAATCTGCTACATTTACATGGTTCTAGTCAATACTGCAACCCAGAAAGTCATTCCCACTGGCCCTAAACGCTTCATGCTAATGTAGTTATATAATTTAATCCAACATTCAGAAGGGTTGAAAAAAAGAAGAAAGAAGACTATCAGCAATGGTTAATCAGCAAAACAAATGTCCAATAATAGCGATAATGATAATAGTGTAGTAAGAACTCTCCACTAGGGAAAACATCATTCTATGCCAGGGATTGGGTTTGCAGGACAGGTGAATTGTAAAGAAAACACAAAGGGTTTGGGGGCAATACAGTCATTTCCTATCCTATTATGGGCATGATTACACATATCTACACGTGTTAAAGATCATAAAGCTGTACATCAAAACAAAGAAATTGTATTATGATTATTTTAAAAATAAAAACATTGAAATTATTTTTTTAAAATGTCGACTAAACACAAATGGATTGGGGAAAAAAATACATACCATCAAACAATTTGGAAAAAAAAAACATACCATCAAACAATAAACAAAAGAGAACTGAAGTTGCTGTGCCTGTATCTAAAAAAAAAAAAGATTTAAAAACACAAATGTTACTAGAAATGAAGAGGAAGTTTCATAATGATGAAAGATCAGTCCTTCCAGAAGATTTTAAAAGTATGACCAAACATACATCAACAACAGTACTTCAAAATACATGAAGTAAAAATGGACAAAATTGAAGGGAGGAATAGACGATTCAACAACAAAAGTCGGATGTGTCAATGCCATATTTTCAATAACAAGTAGAACAATGGACAGAAGATCCACAAGACAACAGAACACCTGAACAGCACTCTGAACCAAGTATACCTAATAGACATCCATAGAACACTTCACCCAAAAGCACCAGCATAGGCATTCTTCTCCAGTGCATACGAAACATCCTCCCAGAAACCATCATGTGCTGGGACATAGACCAAGTCTGCAAAAATGTAAAAGGATTGAAATCATACAAAGTATGTTTCAAGCCACAATGAAATTAAAGTAGAATTCAATAACAAAAGAAAATTTGAGAAATTTACAAATATGTGGATATTAAATGATACTTTCTTAAGCAACCAGTTTCAAGGAAGAAATCAATAAAGAAAATATGTTGAGAGGGATGAAAATGAAAACACAACACACTAAAACATATGTGATTCGGCAAAAGCCCTGTTCAGAGGGGAACTTATAGCAGGGATTCAGGAAGTAGGGAATAGCAGAACAGTAGGGGAAATAAGTGGAACCAAAAGTTGGTTCTTTGGAAACATCAATAAAATTAACATGTTTTAACTGGACTAATCAGGAAGATGAAAGGGGGAGGGGGAAAAGAATAAAGAGAAGACAAATTGTTAAACTCAGGAATGAAAAAGAGGACATCTCTACCAACTTCAAGACATAAAAAAGGACCAAAAGGGAATACTATAAACAATGGTATGCCAATAAATTTGAAATATAGATGAAAGGGACAAATTACTAGAAAGACACAAATTACTGAAACTGACTCAAGTAGACATAAAATGTTGAAATAGCCCCATAATAAGTAAAGATATGAAATTGGTAACTAAAAATATTTCTACAAAGAAAAGCCCAGACCCAGATGACTTCACTGGTAAATTCTACAAATATTCAAAAAAAAATTTAAACCAACTTTCACAAACTTTTCCAAAAAAAGTAGAAGAGGAGGAAACAATTTCTAACTCATAATACGCACACAGTATTATACTGTTATCAAAATAAGAAAAAGACATCACGAGAAAACTACAGGTCAATATCGCCTATGAATACAGACACAAAAATCCTCAACATAATACTAGTCAACTCTATCCAGTAATATGTATAAAGAATCATGCACCAGCCCGGCGGGTGTGGCTCAGTGGATTGAGCATTGTCCATGGACTGAGAGGTCCTGGCACAATTCCCAGTCAGGGCACATGCCAGGGTTGTGGGTTGAATCCCCAGTAGGGGGCGTGCAGGAGGCTGCTGATCAATGTTTTTCTCTCACATCAATGTTTTTCTCTCTCTCTCTCTCTTCCTTCTTCTCTCTCTAAAAAATCAATAAAAACATATAAAAAAGAAAAAAAGGATCATGCACCATAACTAAGTGGGATTTATCTTAGGATATCTAAAACACACAATATTAGCAATAAAAAACAAGAACCATATGACAAAGATTTAACAACATCCAACTAGGAATTGACTCATCAAACTAGGAATAGTAGAGAACTTCCTCAATTTGATCAAGATCATCTGTGAAAATCCCACAGCTAGTACCATACTTAATGTTGAAAGACCACATGGCAGTTCAATTTTTAACTTTGTGAGGTAACACCATAGTGTTTTCCACAGTAGCTGCACCAGTCTGCATTCCCACCAGCAGTGTGCTAGAGTCCCCTTTTCTCCACACCCTCGCCAACACTTGTTGTTTGATGATTTGTTGATGGCGGCCGTTCTGACAGGTGTGAGGTGATACTTCATAGTTGTTTTAATTTGCATCTCTCTGATGATTAGTGACTTTGAGCATGTTTCCATATGTCTCTTGGCTATCTGTATGTCCTGTTTGGAGAGGTGTCTATTTAGGGTTCTGTCCATTTTTTTATTGGGTTGTGTTCCTATTGTTGAGTTGTATGAGTACTCTATATATTTTGGAAATTAATCCCTTATCTAATGCATCATTGGCAATTATGGTCTCTCATATGATGGGTTCCTTACCCATTTTGATGATTGTTTGTTTCTTTTGCAGTGCAGAAACTTTTTAGTTTGATGTAATCCCATGTGTTTATTTTTTTCTTTATTTCTCTTGCCTTAGGTGTGCCATTTGACCCAGTGATCCCACTTCTAGGAATATACCCTAAGAAACCTGAAATACCCATCGGAAAGAATATATGTACCCCTATACTTATAGCAGCACTATTTACAATAGCTAAGATCTGGAAACAACCCAAGTGTCCATCAGTAGATGAGCAGATAAAAAAACTGTGGTACATGTACACAATGGAATACTATGCAACTGTAAGAAAGAAAGATCTCTTATCTTTTGAGATAGCATGGAGTGACCTGGAGAGTATTACGCTAAGTGAAACTAGCCAAGCAGAGAAAGACAAATATCACATGATCCCACTTATATGTGGAATATAATGAACTAAACAAACTGATGAACAAAATTGACCCAGAGACCTAGAGGTAGGGTACAGACTGACAAACCCCAGTAGAGGGGGTGTTGGCGGGGAGAGATAAACCACAGAACTTACATGCATAGACATAGACAACAAAGCTGGGGAAGGGGTGAAAGGGATAGGGAGGAGGGTGTCAATGGGGGAAAAGGAGAAACATCTGTAACAAAAACAAATTAATAAAAATAATTTTAAAAAAACAATGCTTCCCCCCTGGGATCAAGAACAAGATGGGAATATCTGCTCTCACCACTTCTATTCAACATTGTGCTGAAGGTTCCAGCCTGAACAATTAGACAAAAATCTGGGGGAAGCCACCAGACTGGAAAGGAAATAGTAACTATCTCCATTTGCAGATGAAATAATTTTGTATATAGAAAATCCTAAAGAAATCACTAAAAAAGTACTGGAACTGATAAGTCAACAAAGTTACAAGATTCAAGATCAATATACAGAAATCAATTGTATGTTATACACTATCAATGAATAATCTGGAAATTAAATTAAGAAAACAGTGACTAAAAAACATGATTAAAGAAATCAAAGAAGACTTCTAAATAAATAGAAGTACATCTTATGCCTTGGATTAGAAGACTTAACATTGTTAAAATGGCACTACTCCCAAACTGATCTACATATTCAACACAATTTCTATCAAAATCCCAGCTGGCTTCTTTGCAGAAATGAAATTCACATTCATATGGAATTACAAGGGATCCCAAATAGCCAAAACAATCTTGAGAAGAAAGAACAAAGTCAAAGGACTTATACTTCCTGATCCCAAAATGTACTACAAAACTACATTAATAGAGGCAGGTGATTCTGACGAAAGTGTAGACATACAGATCAATGGTGCAGAATTGTGAGTCCAGATATGACCCCCCATGTCTATAGTTAACTGACCTATTCAGTGGAAGAAAGAATTCTTTATAACAAATGCCAATGGTACAACTGGGTGTCCACATGCAAAAGATTGATGTTAAACTTCTACCTCACCCATACACAAAAATTAACTCAGGATTGTAGACCCAAATATAAGGGCTAAACTATGAAACTTAGAAGAAAACATGGGAGTAAATCTTCATGACCTCAGGTTGGCCAATGGTTTTTCAGATACAATATAAAAAGCTCAAATC